TCGAGTTTATGTTACAAATTATTTATTATATAAATTTATAGAAAGTTTTCTAAAAAAAAGATATAAATAATGTCAATAAAAATGTTATACACATATATTGTACGTCCGTTGCTGGTTGCTCTTCTGTAAAAGTTACATTTGTGATTGTCGACACGTGTCTCGTCTTGAACGTTTCTCTTTTATTTATGAACAACATTGTTTTCTGCAATTATTGCTTCGTCACTTGTTGGTGTCCATGTTACCTGTTGATCGCGCGCCTCTATCTCTCGGTGTGCTCTACGAGAAAACAGAATGCATTGTTCAATTATAAAACAAACGAAAAGAAAAAAAAATAGAAAATCGAAAGTTCAATAGCGAAGCCACAACAATGTTCAACGAACGGGAACAGACTTTTTATTTGATCTTGTGCAGGTGATAAAGCGTTGGCTCGCTTCAGATAGTAGCCATCGGCAATTGATCGCCGGAGTTGGTTCCTTCTTTAACCTTCGATTCGTCCGAGGACTCTTCCTCCAGCTCCCAGTGAGCCTCGTCGTCGAATTTCAGCTCCTCGGAGATCGAACCGCAGACCGACAGTCGCAGTATCAAACCTGCAACAGCGCAATGTTAAATTAAAAACCGCGCGTACCGCTGTTTACAGCCGGTATCTAATCATCCTTCCTAATCATTTCAGAAAGACTCGGTTCATTGTACAGGGTGTCCCGAAAATGCAACTATTTCCTTTGCGAAAATGTTCTCCGAGCCGCCGTTAACGAGTTATTAACGGAAAACAGTGACCAATGAGAGGCGAGCTCGCGCAGCGCTAGCGCGGCCGCGCCAATCGGCGGAACTGGGCGTCGACCGTTCGTTGGCTCGGCCGCCTCGCGCCAGCTGATCTCGCCTCTCTGATTGGTCTCCGTTTTTCGTTAATAACTCGTAAACGAAGCCGCGGATCGCATTTTCGTAAAGGAAAAAGTTGCTTCGAATCACGTCAGGAATCCTCCACTTTCGGATTGCGAGACATTTTTAGGACACCTTGTATATATCTCTGGCTTTACCACTTTCTGAACAAGATTGTATCGTAATCGATAAGCACAGGAAAATTTCTATCGTCAACAAGATTTTTGCGATAAGCAGTAGAGCTGTACATTTTCTGTATTTATTTGTGACAACGACGAATATTCGACGAATCCAGCTCTCCACTATTTGTAACTTATCGAAATTGTTCAGAGTAGAAATACAGGCCCATGCAATTTCTGCAATATGGACCTGTTGCTAATATTTGTTAACGCGAATCGGAAACAGAATGCCATTGATTTATGGAACAATGTAGGGAAAAAACGTGACCTGTTACCAATCCGGAAACAATGGCGATGCCCAGTGTAATTGCGAGAGCTAATAGCTGATAGCCAGCTTGCTGTAGCGCGGATCTATTCACGCCGGGTGATATATTGTTGTAATCTTCCATCAGCTCGGTCAGCAAGTCCCCAGAACTCGGCGCCCTGGCTGGAAATATCTGTCGGAAAGGAAAGACGCATAAACAATTCATAAAAATAGAGAAAAGTCTCGGTCACGAATCTTATGCTAACTTCGAGCCACGAATTTCAAATTCTGCTCGCATAAAGTCGTGATAAAGATGGCGTGGGCGTACAGAAAAACGAGAAGTAAGGTGACCCACCGCCGGGGTTGGTAGAATAACAATTGCGAATTTCTTGCGAACAGTGACTGAAACGTCCGTTTCACGGTTAATAGATTAAGCAATTGCTGGTTTTTGCAACCGGACCCCGAGCAACTTTGGCCCCAGGCGCCATTCAGCCCCAGTTAGGAACTCGCGGCGCGGCGCGCCGGCTATTCCGCATACTTAGCGAAGTATCCCTTACGAAGTTAATTACCCGAACAGCCGGCTGATTAATTTCTGCAGCAGCACGGGGGGCCGTCGGTCCCCGCACAGCGGCGCCGATCGCGATTCTAGCTGGTCGAAAGTCGAAAATGATGCAATTCTTTACTGGTTCTTATATCGATTAGCCGCGGATTGCATTTTCGCTAAGGGAAAAGTTGCTTCGAATCACCTCAGGAATCCCCTACTTTTGGATTGCGAGACATTTTTGGGACACCCTGTATAGGTATACAAGGTATATACATACAAGAGAGAGAGTATATGATGAATGATATTTTTTATATATGAAGAATATATGAAGAAAGAGATTGCAATGCATAATGTCCTTGATTAGCAAGAAAAAGTAACGTTGCCAAACACTTTTGCCACATTGTTGCTAAAAATGAAATTAGATTAGAAAGTCTGATAATTATTAATCATTCTAAGCTATTATTAGAGCGTTAAGCACTCAGATGGATTCTCAAGGTTGAATTTATTTGTAATAGAAGATACTCAACCAGTTTTCATATTCATATCACAAGATTTCTTTCTAATTATACCGTTTTTTTTAATTTTAATTTTTCTTTTTAAATTTTTAACTATTCTAACCATACAGGGTCTTTTTTTCTAAAAAAAAAAAGAAGGTATTCAGTACTTATATGGCATGGTATAGGACACAGTGTACTGAGTGGAAAAGCCTTCGATAAAAAAGCATTCAGAAAAGCATCCGATATTTATTCTATATAGAACACAATGCGCCGAGTGAAAAAGCCTTAGTAAAATTGGTCGGAAGGTCAACCGTTTTTGAGATGCGAACATTTTTGTTCGGCAGCATCTTGATTGACTCACTTCGGACTTGTCGATATTTGCAAAAGATTTTCCACGTGTCCTCCTTCCATTTCTATATACGTTCGGCATCTCATTCTTACATGATTCCGAACTCCCGAAAATTCCACATGTTTGATGAATTATTTGACAAGCACATCGGATTCGGTTACGAAAGTAGTAAATCGATCGTGATGCCAGCAAACAAAAATGTTCTCAGAAACGGTTGACCTTCCGACCTATTTTACCAAAGCTTTTTTACTCAGTGCAGTGCGTTCTACTGGGTGTCCCAAAAATGTCTCGCAATCCGGAAATGGCGGGTTCATCGGATCATTTGAAGCAACTTCTTCCTTTACAAAAATGTTCTCCGAGGCGCCGTTAACGAGTTATTAACGAAAAATAGTGACCAATAAGAATCGAGCACGGCTGACGCGAGGCGGACCAGCCAACCAGCGCGCGAAGCCCAGTTCCGCTCATTGGCTCGGACGCCTCGCGCCAGCCGAGCTCGCCTCTCATTGGTCACTGTTTTTCGTTAATAACTCGTTAACGGTGCCTCGGAGAACATTTTTGTAAAGGAAAAAGTTGCTTCGAATGACCCGAGGAACCCGCCACTTTCGGATTGCGAGACATTTTTGGGACACCCTGTACAAGAGGACGGAGACTAAACGAATGTTGACTTTTCGAGAGGTTCGATAAATCTCAGATTGACCGTATCATTATGTCCAAGATAAGAAACGTTGAAACAGCCGCTTACTATCATATCAGGTTGCTGCATATGAAATCTCGGATTTTTTTTACACACGAACATTTGTCCCCCTGTTTTCGTTATGCTTTTGTTTTCGGCATAACCTCGTTTACAGTCGTGCCGTCCATCGCCCGACTCGCGTTTCAACGAAGAAGATTCTCTCGAAAGTGTTCCATTTCGTTATTTGTTTCGAATCTCGCGAGGATACGAATTCAACCGATGTACGTGTAATTTCTTTACACGAGCATAAACTTGCGGCAATAATGCTGCGAAAAGCTGCGCGCGATATAAACCAGGTGTTCGGGGAGAAAATACTGTTAACGATCGAAAAGTGCAACGTTGCTTCGAAAATGTTCGGTCTGATGATTTTTCCCTAGAAAATGAACCGCGCGGAAGACGCGAAACGACTGTGAAAAATGATGCTCGGTTTTTCTTTACAAGCAGTAGGAAAATGTACGAAAAGGAAGACAGTCTGAAAAATTCCATGTCAGAGTTTATCGATTATTAAAGATCAGAATTTCTTTAAGACAGGCATCTGTGCGTTACAATCTTATTTGGAAAAGTGTATCGAAGCGAACGGAGCATATGTTCATGAAATAAACAGCTGTTTCGAAAAGAGATATGCAGTTTTATACAGGGTGTCCCAAAAATGTCTCGCAATCCGAAAGTGACGGGTTCCTCGGGTCATTCGAAGCAACTTTTTCCTCTACAAAAATTTTCTCCGAGGCACCGTTAACGAGTTATTAACGAAAAACAGTGACCAATGAGAGGCGAGCTCGGCTGGCGCGAGGCGACCGAGCCAATGAGCGGGACTGGGCTTCGCGCGCTGGTTGGCTGGGCCGCCTCGCGTCAGCCGTGCTCGATTCTTATTGGTCACTGTTTTTCGTTAATAACTCGTTAACGGCGCCTCGGAGAACATTTTTGTAAAGGAAGAAGTTGCTTCAAATGATCCGAGGAACCCGCCATTCACTTAAAAATCTGTTTATACATTTCATCTGCACGAACTTAATACGTACATACATGTAACTTATGGTTCATTTAGTGATATTTGACCGAATAGAATTGCGATAGGTGCATCACTGCATGCCGGAAGTTACGTACCTCGTAAAGGGAATTATTGTATGTTTCTTTCGTGGCCAGGCCAGCCATGAGGGCGCCGAAAATGCCAGCCAGTACACCTGGCATCCCGTGCAGATTGTGGACGCCGCATGTGTCGTGCACCCGGAGGTGTTTATGTATCAGAGGCTGCAACAAATTGGTGGCCGGTGAACACTCGTCGATGTCACGCGTTAGAGGTTACTTCGCCAATGTTACTTGGATTAAACAGAGGATCGTCGACCTTAATCTAGAGTAATGAAAGCAGGCGAATTGAATGGGGCTAGAGCGCGGCTATAAGGGTCTGTTCACTTCGGCCCCTTTGTTTCCCTCGAATGATTAAAAAGGTAAATTCTCTTCTGCGCGCAAGAGCGCAGCGATGATATTCATCAATTTTTCGTAGACAGGAACAAAGGTTTTACCGAACAAGAAACTACGTGGAATCGCATTTGATAAATATTTACAACCCCGGTTATTTCAAGGTTATGTCATGATTCGATCAAAATTTCTTTCGGGCGGTTTGTACCTGGGGTCCCGAAATTATTATACAAGAGGGAAATGAGGGGTTCCTGAGGTCATTTGTAGCAACTTTTTCCTTTACGAAAATGTTCTGCGAGGCTTCGTTTACGAGTTATTAACGAAAAACAGTGACCAATCAGAGACGAGCTCTGCTGGCGCTCGGCTGGCGCTAGGCTGGCGCTAGGCGGCCCAGCGGTCGAAGCGCCGTTCCGCTGATTGGCTCGGCCGCCTAGTGCCAGCCGAGCGCCAGCGGAGCGCGCTTCTGATTGGTGAGTGTCTTTTCGTTAATAACTCGTGAACGATGCATCGGAGAAAATTTTCGTAAAGGAAAAAGTTGCTCCAAATGACCCCAGAAACTCCTCGCTTCACGCTCGTGCAATAATTTTGGGACTCCCTGTATATTTCTCGAGACTATACGCACCTCTACATTTATTTCGAAATAGAATTTTATTTCTCGGCGTATCTCGACATTCGGCAAGCTTATCCGAAGCCATTATTACCGTCGCATATTCGCGGACGAAACTGTCTGTTTGAAACGTTGCTCCGCGTTAATGCTAACTAGAACCGTGTTTGCACGGGAGTCGTTCAGTGGAACGTGACGTATGAAGTTTTCATGATTATTAATAATAGCACTGTGTGCAATACGCGCGCCGGTACTTTCGCTTAACGATCCCGCGCGATCTCTCTCGGCGTTATGTTTTTCTGATACGGTTGTATTTAGTGTTATACGCGTCCCTCCGAGCGTGACGCGCGAACGAACGTAGATTTACACGGACGTTAAATAAACGAAAGATAACAAAACAGGAGAATCTAAGTGGATGTTACGCACCGCGTTCAGGCAACTTTTAGTTTTATTTCACACAACGGCGCCGCCGTTCCGATTCCCACGGAAAATATCGTTATCGCGTGCACCATCGACTTTTTGCCCGCAGGAAGTATCAGTCTCTATACCGCTAGCAATAAACATCTGTGCGCACCGTCCGTTTTGTTATCCTTTTATCAAGAATGTTCATCGTGAAACGCATATTCAAACGAGCATTTTTTTTTTTTTTTTTTTTTTTTAAAGAACAGAGCCACGTACAGCGACCCGTATTAATACCCGGATATCTTTTAGAACGGAATAACTTTTTTCAAATTCAACGAAATCGCCTGAATTTTTCTTTTTTTGGAAATGTTAGAGAGGCTGTACTATGATTAACATTTTTTTTCTTTTCTAAGTTTGCTGTTAGTTGGAACGATAACAAATTCAAGAACGCGAAGTCAAGCCGCAGGCGTTGAAAGATGTCAAAATTTTTATATACAGGGTGTTCGGAAAATCGTGGCAAGGCGATGATTCTACATGCAAAGATAAGTCGAGAAAGAGGAATAACATTTTTTTACTTAAGGCCCCGTTCTCGAGAAAACCGATTCGTTGAGTTCGCGTGGCTTGTAATATGACGCGAAGTAGAATTGGTGTGTCATGGCCAGACGCGCCAGTTGATTCCTATTCAATAATATTACTTTTTCAATCTAAGATTTCTCA